AGCTGGATAGAGAGAAATACATTCTGAAACCTCTATCATGAGAATCTACACTGAATATTGAGTTTCTCATGAAATCGATGTATCTCCTAGCAGAAAATAGTCTTACGGAAGAACTGCTAGCATATTTGTACACAGAAAACCCTCACAGATCTCTGATGTTGAGGTAAATTTCTCTTCAGTTCCACAAAATTCACTAAATCAATGCAAGATATATGGAACAAATTTGAACAGAATTGGTAGACCTTCACTCTTAATTTCACTAGAGGATATGAGTTCTGGTATCCAAAACTGATTGGAGGAAGAGTTGCATTCTTAAACAGCACCAAATCCATGCTAACCAAAGGTAAACCGTCAATCTACATTTTAAATAGCAAATCATCACGTATTTAAAATTTTTACTTCTCCGGAACATTGGATTTTTGATCAACCTCGTCCATGTAACATTCTTGCTTGGTTCAGCTCATTTCGGTTTAGCGTTTCACTAGCTTCATGTGATGCTCTTCACGGAACTCTCAAACTTGTCGCTTTTCTCAACCAGTGGCCATTGCGATCGATTAGGACACGCTCAAAGGCACTATTCGAGTACAAATCCCAGATCCTATTGGTTACTCTAAGTTGGGTCAATAATCATTCTTCATTTGCAATATTTCTTTCGCTGGACTTCTTCTAATGATGTATCCACTAAATTTGTGGGCCTGCTCTTGTGCATCGATATTGCGAGATCCACCAGTTGAATACGGGCTTTGATTGATCCAGTACCAAATTCGTCGGTATTTGTCAGTAGCCAGTGTGGTTAATGGATTTCCTAGAACCGACCGAGAGAAATCAGAGTATGACAATGTGAGATTATCATTTCGAGAAACGAGACCAGCATCGATTAGTCTTTATTCTTAAAAAATATCTGGGAAACTTGAAATCCTGTGTATAGTCTATAACATAGTGGGGCGTCAGGTGATCGCCTAGTTAAAGAGTGGAGAACTTGACAACAATGTGCCAGAGATAATTTTTTGTTGATTTGATAAGCACGATATCCTTTTGCAGATTCTATGAGGCGAGCCAACTAAGATCACCCCGTCCAACATATACTCATTATTGGCCAGCTGATCAGTTATTGAAAAGAGGGCTGGTTTCGGATATAATGTGGAATGATTGTAGCTCGCGATGTGGACGTTGGTGTTGGTGTGTTTTAGAATCCAGAAGTGTTGTTTGCCGGCTGGACAACATGATCATCATCATTGTCATCATCGTCAAACCCACTAATGATATTGTTCAGTCTGCAAACAACAATTCAAGCTCCGAAAACCTGCCAAAACTAAGGGCTGGTTTCGTCTAAAGGACATTTTTGTTCAACGATTTGAACCTTTTTTAACATCTGGTCCTTGAGTTATGGGAATTGAATAATCAAGATGTTTGATCGAGAAATAAAATCTTTCAATTCCCAATAGCTTCATCCTAGCAACGAGGGGTGAACAATACAGACGCAAGTACTTGACGTCAAGGATAATTTCAAGACAGCAGTACACGTTTCGAACTTCAAGTGCCCCTTAAAAAAGCAGCAAGTGAGCAACAGGTTGTATAAATGTGTACCATCAAGGGAGAACTTGATCACGAGTCGTTTGTCACAATACACGATCTAACATTCAATATCCATTTCAAATACCCATGTTCGCGTATCCCTGCTGGTGCCTGTTTTTTTCGGTCAATAGTGTGCTCCATAGTCCCCACAAGGCACATGACTGCCCCGTCACGAAATAATTACTCCTGCCCATGTGTGTACTATAGTTTGTTTTGCGTTTGCACTGATTTGTTGAATAAATACAATTGCACTAATGATCAACTGCACATAAGCTAGAAGAGAAACATTTGTTAAACAATATTCTCTCCGTGCAACTCCAATGTCATTCTTGACTGTTCTTGATCTATTTCTCAATTTGGTCACAATTCGGATGTTTTATTGAATTCCAAGCGTTGAAACCTTTGTCACCTGTATATGCTATTTTCAAATACCTTCATTATTTAATGTTTGTTATTTATTTACAGGAACAACCTTCTCCTTAAAACACAAACCGGTGTGCAATCCACTGGTGCAACATGGAAAATGAACGGTCACAAGAAACCATTTGTTACATTTTGGGGGATAGGTACCGGGGCTATCGGGTTATTGGACCAAATGGTGCATAAGCACAAAACGGAACACTTTGTTGTTGGACCGGATGGGGGCAAACTGTACAGTCAGGTGCCCCAATAGGAGACTGGTACATGAAATAATTTGACAACCGGCGACATCGCAAACTGTAGATGCATTCATTACTGTTTTCGGAAAGTATCCATCCAGAATGGTATCTGTAATAATTTGATTTCTCTTTTTAAAGAAAAAATGCATGTGATCCGTTCGAATAAGGACATTCCAGCTTAGCTCAGATAATTATAATTAAACTGGATTTACATATACCTTTTATCACTGCTGACAATTATATTACATAATCACTGTGCTCCCGCATCCACCGATCGCCTTTGAATTTTGAAAATGGGGAGCTTGTATCAGCTTTGACCCGTGCTGAAGTCAGATGGTAATAAATGAGTGTCAACGGCATCATCCGTTGCTAATCCTATTGGTTAGATGTGGGTGTCAAGTGAGATCGTAAGATACCATGCAAAACATAGGTACTTATAGTAGCTATTTTTTTGTCGTACTTAATTGTTTCCCAATTACCGAATCCCTAATATAACCCTGATTTTTGCCCTTTTTGAAAACCAATTAGACCGTGTCATTAAATTTTAAACACTGTACTAAATCGACATGTCAGGGAATATGATATATCGCTTGATATAACTTTCCACAATTGTTGATCCATTATCGCAGAAAGCAGGATATACACAAATAACCGTCGATTTAAACCGCTGCTTTAAAAACAAGCATACATTGCTTTACGTAAATAAATTCTGCAATCGCGGTTCCGAAACTCGGGACAACCAATGATTGACTGGGATAGGATTCTCAGAGTATTAGGGGATATGACGCTGTTTGATGAATGGAGTAACTGGTACCTTGATCATCACATTATAGAAGAGAAGCTTGCTTGCAAACGAATCAATAAAATAGACCACATAAAACAAAAAGCGTGAAGTTCTGTTCGTTTCTGTGCTAACACTCCCATGCTGTGCTTCTTTTTTGTGTCCGTTTATTCAACCGATGACTATGAGAGTATAAGAAAGGAGTGATTTATCACGAATATTGCAATGATAAAGATGGTGAAATTATGGGAGCACAGGCATAAGCAGGCATAAGCATCACGACACTTAGTTTCGTTTCCCCAGCCATCGATCAGACTGATTCCTAGGTTCATTATGAAAAAACTTTATGCAACCTATACTACTATGTGCCCCGGTCAAAGTTTTAAAATAGTCATACCAAGTCATCGATCGATTACCTTATACATGCACATCCAAGAACGAACACCTTTCTAACCAAGGAGTTGTATCTGGTGGCGTGTATAACATACTTCACGTTGGCCCACTGTGATCAAACTGCTGCACAAACTGGGTGAGTGCTAGTTCGTCAGTAATGATCTGCTGTTTTTGTCATATGAATCGGTTGGAAGAGCTTGATAGTTTGACTGATAATTAGAAGTCTATTAGCGGTGAACATTCTGTCACACTTCGCTTTCACATGAATAGTGATTAGCAGATTCGAGTAACCTAGAATGTATTATTATTTCAAGCACTGCGTTTATACACCGAAGCAGCAACAACAAAGCTACAAATTGCATTGTTGCGCAAGAGATTCTTTACAAATTGGAATCTTTATAAACGCAGGTATATGCATGTGTACCGGGGAGGGGAAATATGCATGTATAATTCTATACATGTACATATGTGCATGTTTGTGTTTGTGTGTGTACGCATGTAGCAATGTGCATATTTATATGTGCGTGTGAGTACGTATGAGTATTTACGTATGTAGTATTTAGATACCGTATATGTAAGTTTATCCACGTATTTGCACATCTAATGTTTTTTTATTCAGCATTTTCTTGTGCACAAATGGATTTTCGCGGATAGAGATCTGTGAGCATGCAATCTCACTGAGTCTATTGGAGTCGATTGAGCAGGTTGGGTATCGGATTTCAATAAAAACACTCATGTACGTCATCCACATCACTATCGATTGTTTGCTTCCTTTGTTGTTGCTCATTTCAAGCTAACTCCGTTTCACACTGATCAATCTGAGTCGAAAACACAATCACGGATCTCTCATTGTTAGGAAGCTCGCATATCGTCGATCAATTTGTCCAGATTGAACTGACGTCTCGCACGACCCAAACTCACACCACGCGAGTCCCGGGCAAATCTGAGGGTGCTTTGTGTGGATCCAATATTATTCCGATCGGTGCGCACGGTAACAATGAGAATACACTTGCCGGAATGGGTGAAAAACGGCTTGAGTAAATAGGTCAACTTGGAATCGCGATAGGAAACATTGTTCGGATCTTGGGTACGCAACGACATGAAAACGCGATTCAACGCTGTCAGTGATCTATTGATGTAACCGGCTTCTTTTGCCAGTACCGGGTCCATCAAAGTTTCGGCTTTGATAATATCTTCAAATCCGGCCAAATCACACAAAGCCAGCAGACTGCACACATGCGCGTCGTGAATACGACTTCGCGCGCTCAGCCGGGCGAATATGATTAAATGAGATCGTGAAGACTTATTATTCAGTGCGGTACAACCTGTATGTCTACGTTCACGACAAAGAGCTAGAAGCTGTTCAACATCGGACTCTTGTTCAATATCCATGGTTTGTAAATTCTCCAGCATATGATCCGGTCCGGAATCCACTCTGATTGAGATCCCTTTCTCACAGCTTAATAAATCGATCAGGGTATCATTATAGATTTCGACCACGGCACTGATCAAGTGATAATTCCATTCGTGTACATGTGCCTCACGTTCGGACAGTACAGTACGAAGCGCCCGATGAGCTATTCCCTGTTTGTCAACGGAATCTGGTTCACCACCAAGCAACGTGTATGTTTTTCCACTAGCTTCACCACCGTATGTCAAAAAGCAGACATTATAACCGTCTAGGAATGAACAAACCGATGGTGCTAATTCCGTGTACACGTCGGATTGTGTAGCATACGGATCGAATACACGATCAAATTTGTACGTCTCTGTGCTCGAGTTATCTGCTGTTGTGTGAAGTAAAACGGTGTCAGTCAAAGGGCGAGCATCAACGCAAGAGCTCACATTTAATATTCCTCGACATCGGCAATAGATTCGAATATTACCCAAATATTCTTGCATCATGTTAAAAACGGCTCTTCGTCGATTCTCTTCTGTGCGCAAAGTTAATTTGAGTGAACGATTCTCTTGTACCAGCTTAGCCAATTGGGCCAATGGAACATCACCATTTCCGGACCCCGCACATCCATTCACGCTGGAAACTGAACTACCCATCGGTTTACCGAGAAGTGAGCAATCCACATGGTTTGTTTTGTCCGCATTCAAGAAAGTCCATAACTTGGTGACCAATTTCTCTTCCAAATCAGTTCGCAATTTGGTAATTATCTCAGTCACACTGTTCCGCAGACGTGACAACCGTTTAGTCACATCGGTGTGCAATCGTCTTACTGTGATGATCTGATCTCGGAGAATCAGCAGTGTGTTTACGTAATTTTCTCGGTTTGTGGGCAAACCACTTCTTGAGTTCGTGCTGCTCGTGCCACTAGTGATTTCATAACCCGTGGAAGAAACGGGATGTTTCCCTTGATAAGCATCTTTGTGACCGAATTTGTTGCCAGTTTGAGGTAGAAATTCATTGATCACGTCCCGTAATTCGCTGATCTGTCGAAAATATGCGATGCAGGCCTCTGTGTCATAATTGGACTGGCGGAGTTCAGCCGCTACCTCCAGAGGATCGCATATGTTCTCACAATGTTTCATAACTCGTTCGATTTGGCACTGCATTTTCGGTAGTATCAATTCAAGTGCAATTGGTAAACGAACGGTGGTCAGTTTTGATCCTGTTCCCGCCTCTTGTTGATGAGGGATTGCGTTCGGTATGTTGCACTGCGCAGAATGAATCACATGTTCAATAAGATATCGATGAGATCCATGCTGATAAACCAGTATATTTGTCAAGCCTGTGGGTCGATTGATTTGATCGTAGTAGAAGTGTTGCGTTCGCGGAGTTGGTCGTGAATAAGCCGTAGACCGACTTCGAGATTCCATTTGATTGTGACGTTCCAATTTCTTACATAGACGTAATGCTTCTCTTTTGCGGTTCCACTGTACACGACTGTCTGGTCTCCGCAAAGCACGACCACACCATTGAAAGCAAACATTGTTAGATGGTCTATTCAAAGGTTGTCGCGATCCCATCGAAGAGCCAGATGGGTTGCAGCTAGAGACAGACGTTTCTCGGTTAGTCAACTGCAGAGATGTTGATGTACTATTCATAATAGTAGGTCCACTGATTGACAATTCGTATGGAGTCAGCGTTTCACCCGGCTCTGCTTGAATAGGCGTGCGATGCGCTGCAGAGTACTGGTAGGCAGATTCACTGAAATCAGGTACCTGTTGTTGTGACTGTTCGACCGATTTTATGCTCTGCGGTTCTTCCTCTGTGTGCACTGGGTTTATATTGCTTGGTTCCAGTGTGATGTCAGTGATGAGAACACCTGTGTCACCATATCCACTGGACAATGTGGCCTGATTTAGAGTGTTTGTTACACGGGGTGGTTCAGTACTCGATGGATCATAGCTTGCCCTTGTTGTTGGACTGGATTGCTTTTGATCTATACCCGTTTGATTACTTTCTGATAGGTCTATTGGTTGACTCATTTCAGAATATTGTGTTGCCTTTTTTGTCATCCGTGAGTTCTTTGACAGTCGATCTGAAAGCCTACTGTATTCCGCATAGAGTCGATTAAATGCGCACACCAATCTTACGATACGTTTGGCGTGTTTTCCGCGTCCATTGTATAGTATCTCTTCTGCGTCGTTTTCCGTGCACTCGTAAGTAACCTTGATTTGACGTAGCTGACAAGATATGCGCAAATACAAGCTCCAATCGGCCGAATCGATGAATGTGGTTGGTGGACGTTTGCCAGAACGGGAAACTGCCCGTGGTATATCGAAATCTGTGGGGTTATTCGGTTCAGGTGTTTCATTATTTACCGAGCCTGTTTTTCTTTCGGATTCACATGTATGAATCAAAGTGGCGTGTATACCTTTGCGATCACCGCCACAATCGCTGTTTGCATTTGTTATATTCCACATTACGATAATCTAAATGCGATGACGGGCAGATCCTAGCCTTTCTAGAGAAAGAACAGTGTTGTTCCTGAGATAGTCATCTCCCTATGATGTCTTACACAAGAGTAATTTCTCCAGTTTGCTTCTGATCGCACTGGCTTGGTGCGCGACCCGTGATCACGTGATTCTTGTTCAAAACCACAAATCAATGGGGGCACCTGTGGCACGTGGTCTGATGGCAGTCATCGTACTCTTCCAAGTAATAGTACAATAATGAACCATAAACTGTCTAAGCACTTCAATGACGATTCTGTTCGGAGTTAATGCTTCTAACATTCTCATGGCACAAATTTATTTCCGGTGAATCAATGTTTAGAATTAATTCTTTTCCCAATCTCTTGTTATGTGAAGAGAATGAATTTGTAAATATTTTGTTGCTGTTGTTGTTTTATTTCTTTTTCAGACCCGAGGTGTGGTTCACAAAAGGAATAACTCCTCCACAGTTGTGGTACGTACACATTTATTGGCATGCTTCAACGATTTTCCCTCAAGTTTGCTCAAAGAACCGAATGAGATGAATTATGTTCTGGAATCGGTAGACGCACAATTATTCGTACTACGTACACGACATTAACTTGGTTGAGCTCGATCGGGTGATGCTTTGTTCGTTCTATCTATTCCCCTCTCCACCTCTTTGCAAACCTACTTTGATCTGACATCTCTGCTGGCACAAGGTACCGTTGATTTTCGGCTTGGATTAGCTCATTCGATTGTACAGAGACACTAGACACTCTTGAAGCTCTTGGATGTGGGTTTCACTCAATGGAAGAGCGTCAATTCCTCACGAGGTAACTGCATTCAAGTGTGATGGAAATGGTTGCGATGACTGACAAAGAGCACTGGACAATCGAAACAGGCTATCTAAATTGATTGAGCCATTCGCACAAGATGATGACCGTCGACCGTGTAGCTCAGGGTTATAAAATTTCTATTCATCACGGTCACTTGCGCCTTAGTTAGTTAGCAATAACGATTCAACCTAAAATGAGATGACAAAACTCTTACACAGTTATTTTGTTGGTATAAATTACAATTATCACCATTTCTGCGCACTGCCTTATTGTGCTCTGTTGCGTGCTAAGTACATGATCGGCATCGACTAATATATACGCGGATGTTCTATACAGATTCATTTTGGCATCCACTGGCTCCGCTCATGTTTGTAAACAAGAGTAAAAGTTTGACGTTGTGTGCATCAATCTGGTCTCAGCCTAGATTAATGCCATAACCAATATGAACGTGAACCGAACTGACTGTGTTTGTGTGTGTGTATGTGTGTCTATTACGCTCCCTTTAAATCCCGCTCGAGACCAGCATTCGCTGATGAATGAAAAGAATAACAAATAATTATATTGTACACGCTGATTCCACATTGTTTCAAACTTGTACTTGGATAGCTTTACCTCAAAGCGATTTCAACCGAACACTTAAATGATTTCATTTTAAAGTGTGATTAATATCACATGTTACAGCCTTTACGTCACAGCGGAAAAATCCAAATATATGTTCTCCCTACTGATGACGCAATATGAAAATAGGCGATGAGGCGCGGTTTTGAATAGCCAACATCACGGAGTGCGTCTAAGTGAGAAACTCAGAGCAGCTTATCAAGAACCGCAAAGAATAATTGCAATTTGCCTCTGTCGTCTTAGCTAGTGCATGTAATTGAGCACTCTACTCCACATTTTACCTAGTCCTTTCGGGGAACGTAACAAGCATAGTTTTGCCCACAACCTTCAGTTTTTGCTTCATTTAAGTCTCTCCGGGTTTGTTGGATTCCGTTCATGTAATTTCTCATGATTAGCTGCACGGTGGTCGAGATAAATGTTGCCGGAATTGGGCTAAACTGGGATCTCAAATACCCGCGTTAGTTGCGACGGGATATGTGTGTGTGTTTGTGCGTGATGGCCGACAGTGGTATACAGACTAATCACTGTCTAAATTTTCCGCGTAGTGGGTATTCCCTCTACTGTGGACAATGATTCAGTCACAATAGATATCAGCATTTGTTGTATTGATCCGAATTCAATTTTAATGTGAATTGTGTGCTGATTTGTCGTTATTGGAATATTATTAGTTCCATTAATTTAGTACAACAGAGACATGGTTTATGTATGTGTGAATAGCCATCAGCTCAGACTTCATGAATACCTCCAACAAGAGATCAAATCGAACGGTTTTGTTGGAATGACAGTTTTTATGCTGTTCCATAAACTAGCATAATGCCCAAAAACGAACAGTCGTGTGAAGCTGCGCTAATTCAGACTCATATCAGCCTCTCATTTTCCCAGTGTGTGTGTGTGTATGTGACAAGGTCATGACAGATATCAAGTGCTAACATTTGGTACCCGCATTTGTCACCCTACTATACTTATTTACGGGTTATTCCAATCCCCCGTATGTCACCGTCTCACCGGTTTGGGTGTGGCGTAAGTGATCACTTTGGATTCAAGGCAAAAGCCAAGCTACAGATAAAATCTTCACTGTGCGCGCTCGTTTGCTGTGGGTCAAAGTGCATGCCGCCTTTGGTTCACTGCCATAATGTGTGGGTGTGTGCATGCGTGATTCACGACGCATTTTCACACACACACAACTTACGATGAGGGAAATAAGTATCCGGTGGCAAGATATCCATAACCTATTCAATCCATGGTTTCCAGTGAAAAGGCAACTGAATTTAGGAGTTACTGTCACCCCACAAAGTGGAATGTGGGGACAAATTTTTCGTTTTCTTACATGCTTTAAAAAATGGTTATTCTGTTAAGATCGCTATTTTATTACGTTTAAGTGATTAACACTTTATCACAAGAATCTTGCAAAGAAAAGCTTTGCCAACCGTTGATTTGACGAAGTGAATCGTCCCTTACTGAAGTGAGTAGTATGCTTCGGTCTTCCGGTAACCTCTCGCGTTCGCGACCATAAACTGATAGTGGAATCCAACAAGGTTGAAACAGGCGTACAATGCTCCTGGTCGGAATATTGTCAGTTTGCTCAGGTGAACTTTCCTGGAGGTCTTCGGTTAGACAAAACCTGCCTCACGAGGTGCGTGAAAACTGTAATCCATTGGAAGATGGTGTTCAGCTCGTTAAATCACATATCCTTTGAATAGGATACACCTCACAGCCCAGCCAAAACGTAAACGATAACCAAACCATAAAATGATGGTTGTGGTCAAGTGGTTAGGTCACCAACTTGTGACCTGGGAGTCCCGGGTTCGAACTGCTCCACTGCCGTCCGTCTTCTCAGGTAGCCTTTTGTGGCCGCGACCCCCTATCTTGAATGTTGACTGTACATTTGCATATTCAATACATAAAAAGGAAGCAACAAGACATTTAGTTATTTAAAAATGCTGATAATCTATCCGTTAGAATGAATTAAGAGGTTTTGGACTTGACTTGAAAGTCATGGATGTGATCAGAATATATTTTTCCTGTTGGTTTGGGATCAGAGTTTCTTGCCGATTACTATGGATGAATTGCCAGTGTTTCACTGATTCTTGTACATCCTCAGATGGTGGTGTTACCCCATCAGTAAGGCGAGAAAACATTTCCACATGAAAATAATGAGTAGGGCCTCCTCAGCCGATGCTATTTGAGTATTGCAGTCATTTAGGAGCATTCGACGAGGTACAATGGAACGGTGACCAGTCAAAAATCAAGACACCCAACGCCGACACTATAGGCGCTTTTGAAGGCCCACAAATTAGCGTTACGCTCACGAAATTCATTCGGCTATATGTCAGCGCTAACCGAGGTATATTTTTGTGTTTCCGTGTCTTTCGAATTTGGACTAGTAGTGTTTGAAAATGGAAGAATTAAGTTAAACGTTAGCATCTCATGTATGCATCCTAACAATGTTTGTGAAAACGTTCCTATCCTAAATCTGCGTCTCGCACGCGGTTCGTGCACATATTTCTCTCAATATCACTCTGTCTAATAAGCCCTTCGCACCGAAGAAGCTACAAATTATGACATAGACACACTAAGTTTTGTCATATCCTTCATCTGATAAATAAAAGGGTGGGTATTCGTGAGTATTCGCTATACCCTTCGCGGCAAATATAATGATTGATGGGCAATAATTCCGCGTGCAGCTGTATAGCTCCTCCTCCCGCCCCAAATCCCAGCACACACACACACTCATACACGGACGCATTTTCAACTCAGCTTAGGTTGTCATCATCGCCTTCGATCTGTCCCATCATCCCTTGACCACAAATACCATACACACCATAGTCAGAACCGTCAATGTGGAAAAGAATACTTACCGGGGGTAGGCACAAACTTCCCAGTAGAACTACTATCTTGTACAAGGAATAAGTTAACCGAGCTTGATGCATCAAGACACGGCTAAAATGCGCATGCACCTGAACACTGAATGTATATGGCTAAGGAAATGGGTGGGGATTGGGCTCATTCGCTTCTTCTCCCTTTTAGCCCCATACGAAAACTGGCTGAAGACGCGCTTGGTTGTTGGTTAGTTTGCCTACCGCCTGGGTGGGTGTCAAAATAAAAGTAGAGATGATAATCACCGAACGGCGATCTCGATGACGTGGCGTACACTCGTTCGTTCTATCGACTCCACACGTCTGACTGCCCTCAGGCGTAAACAACCTAACCGAACTGCCAATCTACCCATCCATCCGTCCATCTATATATAAACCTCCCACATTCGCACGCCTTTCCCTCATTCCCCTCCTCCGCTCCTACAAATCAAGTCGGGAATCGCCCCAGCCCCCCACTAGCTACAGTCGATTCCATCAGGTTAGCATAACCCAGCTGGTCACGATATAAACTCATGCTCGTCAAATCGCTCGTTCCACAACCGCCCGTCCTCCGACCCCGACTACAGTGATCGAGATATCGGCAAACTGTGTGTGTCAACTCAACGCAGGTGCGCCCTTGTGTAGAGTGAAGTCATAGAGATAGACCAGTGTGAGTTAGGAAATCACAAGTGCAACACACACGCTTGCACACTCATCTACACAGGTTTAGGAATACACAAACCAACGCAATGTCATTTCTGTGTGTAACGGAGGAAGTTGCTGAATCCCAGTGAGCTAAAGTGTGGGGAAATGAGATGGATTTGACCACTAAGTGACCAACTCTGAAAAGCTTGGGGAATGGATATCGGTTGATGAACATGCGCCTGAGTGCCGTTGATTGTGTCATTTGCAATGGGGATAAAAGTTGAGCTTCAAATGGTAGAACGCACAGGGGACACTAATCCTCTAATAACTGATCGAGTAAGTATGTTCGCTACCCCCCCTCCCCGGTTAGCTACCACGTATTCTCGTTCTGTGGGAATGGGCAATATAACCATACTTAGCTTTTTCCAGGCCCATGACAGGGTGAGAAAAATAGATTATTGTCCCGCAGTGACCGGCAGACAGAAGAAATTGATCCACACGGAATAAGTTGAGTACCTATACGAAACAGTTATGAGCAGGAATTTCGGTCGCTTTGTAATTAAAGGTGAGAATAATAACAGATATAATAATTTCTTATAGATTTGATGATGACTCAGCAGTTTTGGTCAGTATCAACACATCGGACTAGGAATCAAATCCATCATCATTATCATCATCATCATCATCATCATCATCATCATCATCATCATCATCATCATCATCGTCATCATCATCATCATCATCATCACTCTTATCACATAAGAACCCATTGTGTTGCCATACGGAATTTTGATTGGAGAATTATTTATTCCACGAAAAAGATGTAACAGGTCCGAGGAAAAGATAAGCGGCAATAATTATCAACATTTCTTTGACGGAGGCGAACACGAATGACTCGGTGATCCGACTCTATGAAAGCAAACGTCCTAACCATAAGTACCTACTNNGTGCGTGAATGAACTTAGGAAGTCAATTTCTGACATTATGCTTCACTACAGGCCCGATCAATTCAGCAAAATCACAGACCTCAAACCGTCAATCTGTTAGGAAGACAGTCAGTTTTTTTTCAGGTTTTCAAAAGCTTCATCAAATTTTTATGACCAATCATGGGAGCAATTGCTTTATCATTGATCGGTTGTGCTTCGGAGGATGAACGACAATATAGCCTGTACTCTTAATGCTGCACATGATGCTGTGGTAGAGACTGTTCCCCATTTTGATGAAGTATTGAAAATAGTGCTATGAGCGCATTACCTACGCGTATTCCTTATTCGAAATGTGTTTCTTTTTGTTTCGGTCAAAGATATTTTGCTTGAAAATGTGAAATGCGACGTTATCTACATACCTTGGCTTTGGGTTTTGATACCCACAGTATTTATGCATGATACGTAGCCCCGAAACAGAGCAATATTAACTGACATACATCCGATCTAGACATCCATTTTCTTCGTGGATTACCTCTTGAGATGATCAGAAAGCTTATTTTTTTAAGGTCTGACAAGGATGACCTACACTAACCAGCGATACCAAAAGATCCGTATAGAACAGTCTNNNTACTGTGGAAACAGAAGATCAAACACATTTGAGCGAATTATGAATACTGTGTAGAGTATTTTGCTTCCAAGACGGGGTTCAAATCGTCAGGCGGAAGAACTCAAGATCCCAGTTGATACAACATAGGTCTCATGGGATCAGGTTCAGCGCAAATCAACTGTGGATTAAAATGTTGAATGTGGTATGAAGTAGGCTAATTAGAGACGAGCGGGATTTCGTAACGGAGATAATTGACGGTAGTAAAAGCAGAAAGAATCAGACAAACTTAGCCTCAGGACTTGGAGTGTCGAAACGCAAACAACTCCAGTACGAAGGCAGTAGTATTGCAATGCATTACCTCGGACGGATACGCCATTGCCATAAGTAGTGGTAAAAGTACTGCATAGCACATGAAGATGTTCCAGTGAAGTTGAGTGATCTTCAAATCGATGAAATTCAGGGGATCTAGATTTAAGAACTTACAAACTTTATTGGGCATCCACATTCGAAAAGGTATCGGGAAATATGTCACCGTAGTTGCAGTGAATAACTGAGTAAGATCTAATTAACTCCAGAGGCAATGGGATACGTTACAATGTTGCGTTATGCTTGGCAATGGATATTCAAAAATTAAATTAGTGTTGAGTGAGGGATCAAGAGAATATTCGGCAAAATGGATTTTATCATCTTAAAGACCCCAGAGCTCGTGAAGGTGGAAGTTCACAGGATGACACATTCGGTAAACCTAGTGCTGACTTCGCCCCCTGTGTTCCCTCTCAAACTGTGCAAATGAACGCACATGAATTGCAAGATTACTAGATTTTTCTCCTCAATAAAAGACGAAAATTCTTAGTAATAGATTAGGGGAATTAGCGGACATCTAAAAGTTGTATTAGTCTAGTTGTACTACGGTCGCGAACCCACTGAAATTCAAGTTCGAGTAATTATCGGTAATGCGGTAAAGAGCTCGTTTGATGCCACACCCTGTATGGATGCGATCGAACAGCTTGAACCCATTCCTATTTCTCCAGCCTTATACTATTCATGGAGGATTTCGTGTGCATCTTTTGTGTTTAGCTTATTTATCTGCCTACTTGTTTCTCCTATAAAGCGTGTCGCAGAATATCCGCATCTAATTTGTAATTTTGATGCACCAGATATCGATATATAATTTTATCAGGTTTGAAGGCAGTACGGATGGAATTTTGGAGTAGTTCTGTCCTGATAGCTTTCGATGTTTTTTCCCGATAAGGGATGCGTACAGTTATGTTTTGTGAAGGTTTGTTTGATGTGTGTCGCTCTCACTGCATAGAGGTAAGAGTTCAGTTCGATCAACAGCGACGGGTACCAGTTCCTATCCAAAGCTCAACAAGTCAACCGGCTCACATATGATGCAACGCACCACTGACCATAGACACATTACTCCAAAATATTTAATTATTATTCACATTGTTTGTCAATCTGTCAGTTTCGTTGCTACGGTCCTAATGGTTGTAAAAATCCTTTCAAACTCAGTGACCTATTCCGCAGAATTCATTAATAGCATCGTTTAGGTCTATCGCAGCGTGAACAGAACCATGAGTCACGACATCACACATTCATTGAATGTTTACACAATTCACCCCGTCCCCTGGGGTAGGTTAGGAGATTCAATCAAGGGCACTGGTTTCCGAAATCCTACATCACATAGCCTGCACATCGTGAGGTGGTTCATTAACCACATCCGTTCGTGATAGACTGACCGGTGGAAAAATGGTTAAACAAACCGGACAGGAGCGGACTGAGGTCACCCATCCGAGATTTCAATGATGCTGCTGCCGATGATGATGATGTCAGCCAGAATAGTGATGGATTGGCTGTAGAACGATGGCGTGTGTACACTGAAGGTTTGCTGGGCCAAAGGTCATGGCGTATCCTAGTCTCTGAGGCATGGATGCCCCCTTTCCCTCAGTCACTCTCTGCCCTACACACACATCCACAGACATCTGCACGCAGTGGACACAGGATACGGGTACAGACTCACGGGTTAGATTCAGATCCGGTTGTGGCGACCAGCCCCGACCTTCTCGCTGGGATTGTCAGCTAAACAAAGCGACCTGAGACCCCCTGTTGTGCGCATGGTTGGCCCAGTTCAAGAGTTCAGTCACACGGATTATTGATTAGTTGCTTACGTCAACACACTCCGTGTTTGAAGGTGTTATCACGAGAGTTATTGCGCGAATCGTTTGAACAACGGACATGACTAATCAGCTAACGTTGCCATCGCAGGCTTAAAAGTTCATCATACTAATCATTGTGACCATGACACCCATGAAACCGAGGGGTGTCGAATCAATCCGGTCGAAGCAAAGCACACAGAATGTAGCCAAGAGATCAGTTTTCTGCGGTAACCACACGCCCACTTTACGATGAGAGGATCCATTGACACAATTGGCTTCTGTTGTCCTCCTCTGTCCTGCTCATGTCCTGCCAAAGTTCCATTCGTGGCGGATCATCTGACAGATTTTGTCGCTTCAATCTATCCCGTGAACCGGACTGATTGTAAATGTGGTATGAATACAAGATCCAGCAAATCGCTCCACATATTTACAAACATAGTTGTATTTAGAACACTGTAAGTACAACAAAACTTACGTTTCAGTGAAAACGGGCCGTGTAAAAGCTCGGAACTGTTTGCTACTGTGATTTCAAAAAAATCACTCGTTTGCAACTACCTCTCTTTTCAATCAAAATATGTGCTGAAGAAGTTGCTGGGAAATCACGGACCACGTGTCTTAGCAGTTGAACGAGTCGATTTCAGAGTTGTCGAGTGAAATGTAGATAAATGGAACGTTTCACCGACCTCTAAAGAATGATCATTAGAACAGCGAGAAGACAAACAACGCGAGACACTGAGGCTTCTTTGAATCGGATCACTCACTAAAATGTAAAACTGATTTGTACAGAAATAAATAATGGTTTGTTTAGCTGTAAACTGTCCATTTCATCGATGTTCAACGGTTATTTGTTGAATTTTAACCGTCTTCCAGAAAATGGGGAAATTAACCTAAACACGCACTGATGAGGCATCACACGCAATTCTTTAGGTGGATGTAGTTCCGAAATTAGGAGGTTATTTTTAATAACAAAAGCGAACAAGAAGCCAACAATCCTTGTTTCCTCAGTGTGGATATCGTTTTGAAAAGAGCCCCACTCGCTGTTCTGTGCATCCTATTATCTTGCATCCCATGACAGGACAGTTTATGCTCGTTTAAAGCTGAAAATGATATGCTGTCTCCTCCAGAGTACGGATTGTATTTGTGGATGCGACTTAAACGTATCACTATTCCGCCATACCCTTGTTCAGATCAGTTATTTTTGACAGGACAGAACCAACGATGTCCCATTGTGGTATACAGTGGTCATTTTTGGGTGAATTGGAGCATGAAATCCATTTACTGATCGCGGAGAGAAGGGATGGCGGATCGGCAAGTAACTTCTCGCTAATTCACTATTTCCACGTATAACAATTAGTTTTACAAGGACACGATCAGTTTTCTCCGTGATCGATGCAACTTTGGATTATGAGCTCGGGTCTTACACAAGAAATCCATCATTTGACCATCAGTCAGTTGATCCGCCAGTTTCACTTTTCCATGCACGATACTGAACTGCCAAGGTGTGTAAACTCGCTGCGAGCATCTCTTTCTACCCGTCCATTTTGGTACTGGAAAGGGAATTGTGGTTCGACAGAAAACATTGTGAGTGCTACAAGGTACTTCAGAGCAAATGATTCTGTTTCGGAGTTGTTTTTACTCAACAGTGACATGAAACTGATCATTAGATTGACGGTATTGCTGTTTTTCAGCTGTGCTTTGGATCATCTGCTTATTTGAGCTTCCTTCCACCACGGAACTCAACGCTATTTAGATGACGATTACCTGTCAACGCTAACACCTGATTCGAAAATGATTCGCTGGGGTATCTAGGACTTGCTAAATGTACAAATCATGAATGCAGACTAGTGCTGTTTATGCTTCTCAACCTGGACTGTACACAGAGGTCCATCATCAGCTGTCACTATGGATGACAAGTGAACGCAGAATGTACAGGCCAGCGAGTGTATCAGCGGACGAATAATAGTATCCATATTAGAGAAATATCTATACGCGATCAATTTATTCTTGTTAGATGCTTTCTTCCTAAAAAATAAGCTATATAATGCAAGACTATCTAGCCCCTCAAGGGCATAACAGTTGTCGTGTCGAAAATATTCGTTCGTTTCCTTGTTTCGAAAGTTCACCGGTTGTTGTATTTATTTAGATCCGTGGAGGAAAGTGATGTTTCGCCGGTTTTTCTACCACCCAATTCGAGTTTTATGGCTCATGAGAGACGGAAACAATTTGCTGATGCACAGGAAAAGCAAATCACGCGGCTCTCATGACAATACCATATGACTCGTCACTTTTATTATGAAATCGCATGCTACGGAATTGACTAAAAACAATTGGATATAGGTAAATAACCGACGCGCAACATCAGTTAAAACTAACGCCCAACAATAAGGTGTCATCATTCATGAAAAGGCCTTGTGAGTTGTCAAATCAACCAGGTGTGCTGCTCCTATGGTCACGTCTCCGGCAGGCACACATGCACACGCGCACATGTGGTAGGTTGACGCGGCAGCAAAGCTGCTGCAAGGTCATCACATATGGCTCACACGACGATAAAAGTGCAAAATACAGATGACTGCATACATGTGACCCAGACTACAGTGGTTTCAAGATATGGCTTTGTCCTTCTGGTTGACCCATCAACGTGGTCGACAAGTTTGCCATCCGTTCACAATAAAAGCACTCGTGAAACCGGCTTTACAAATTCACCCAATAATCATCAACAAAACGAAACGTGTTTTCCGTGGTTATTCCTCAACGGCTGGTATATTACAGGTTATATGAATGCAGAATAATAAGTGGGGAGCATGTATTAGATATAAAAAAAGTAAAAACACCTGAAAGTGGATGATGTCTCCTGTTCCCGTTTTGGTGTCCAAAACGGATGTGTTGACAATTGGACTGACTAAGGCACAATCGGGTGGGCAGATGCCCACGGGACATAATAGTTGTCACAAACACACGCACACGGGAGGGGAAGATCCGAATATGAAAAATCCCGTCTAACGCGCCATGTCCTGGATGTATTGCTGTATGCACTTTGATTATCGTGCAAGAACATGACAAAGGATATGTAACAACCCTTTCCAGCCTAATGTCGGATCTGACTCAATGAGATGCGAACAGTATGTGCTTGTGATTGAAATTGTGCAATCTGGTGGGATAATGCCGAAAACTCGGTGAATCCATCTCCTGCAAAGAGTGTACTTTATCGTAAAGTAACACGCGAAAGAATACCAGAGAAAAGTAAACGTGATTTTTGAGTTACAGTCCTATATTGGGATTGGACTCTAGAGTTAGGGATGAACTTTAACCTAGCAAATTGTGGCCAAGGTTTGCGCGACTA